AAAAAAAAAAAATCTATATCTACCATGGCAATAAATTCTAATCAGAGTGTCTCAAAGTTGGGCATCATGTTTATTTTGGAGGATTTCCTCATTTGAACTAATAAAAAAATTCTCTAAAAAACCCTTCAGGTTTGGCATTTCACAGACTGAGGTTTGAACTGTCTTGTTGGTTTCTACAGCTGCTGTTTCTCTGAGTTGCCATTTTTGAGAGTAGAAAATAAAGGGCACAGGTTATGTCCTGCAGATCATGACTGCTGCAAAGAAAGAGCATGCAAGCTAATTTGGACAATGCACATTGCAATAATTTGTCACACGAACATTGATTTTCTACTTAAGGCATTTATCCACTCAACAAATATTTCCTGTACAATGTGGAGATGATGAACATGGTGCCTAATAATGAGACAGTTTTAATGTATATCTTGCAACCACATGGCACTTCTATTTATTTAAAATTGGTTTACACTGAGTAATTACAGCTGTAGTTTAAAGGTGAAGTATACATGCCTCCAGTCTCACGATAAAAACAAAAACAAGCAAACAAACAAAAGCCCAAAACTGAAGCACAAAGAGATCAAGGCCATAGAGTTGGTTGTATTGTTACCTAGTCAGAAATGAGGGTCAATACTACTATGTAAGTTAAGCAGGACTTGGGAGTACAGTTATATTCCAATGAAAGTTCAAACATATTTCTCCATGTGTCCATATAATGTAAACATCTACATGCAAAAGGTTTTCGTTCTACAAAGATTTGGCCCACCAATACCAGCTATACATTATGTCTCTGACGTAGCCGTACCTGGATTGTAGTATTGCTTGTTTTTAGTTTGGTTTCTGTTTAGTGTATGTGTGTGTGTGTGTGTGTGTGTGTGTGTGTGTGTGTGTGTGTGTTTTCAAAGACAACTTGTGGAAACCAGTTCTTCCTTCAACCATGTGGTTCTTGTGGAATTGAACTCAGGTCATAAGGCTTGGTAGCAAGTATCCTTCCCCACTAGTATTCTTGCCAGCCCTATTTTGTTATCTTTAAATCAAACCCAATTTTGTTGAATTGATGCTGCTTCTGTGTTTAGACAGGGTCTCTTTGTAACACATTCCTTTTGCAAGCCTTTGTGAGCCTTACTATTTGTCTGATTAGCAAAGGAGACTTTGTGAGAGCACATGGCTTCCCCGGGGCAGGAAATACCCATTTATCCAGAACATTCAGGCGCTAGGAGGTTCTGGCAAACTAAATATCCTAATTGCCTCAGGCTGTCCCATATTTTCAGCCCCCAGCCTCTGGCAATCCACCAAAACTTCTAAGGAAAGCAAGAAACAGGAGAAGATTTGCTGTAACTTTGAACATACATGAAAATTAGAGCTCATTTGTAATAGGCTCTGAAAAGGACTCTGGGAAAATACTCAGGTTGGCACTGATGCTTACCTGAGAATTATTACTAATGCCACCCATGCCAAAAACACCAAAACACGCTAATATCTAAAACACAGGAACAGGTTTAAATCTGGTTAGTAGAAAGCACATTGGTATTTTGCAGTGTCTCTACAATCCTAATTTGAAAAAAAAATGACAATAAATAAGGCTATGGAGAAATGGTGGTTATGTTCAGTCTCCTAATGTTTAAATTAAGAGAAAGAGCATGCTCTTTATGCATATCTTGCAAATAGCCTTGTCATAAAATAACACTGAGAAATTGGATTTAAAGGTTTATGGTTTTCCAATGGGAAAATTGTTTCATCATGAGGCAGTGCACTACAATACTAAAGAGTGTGCAATGACCTAATAGATTGGTATTAGAAAATAGTAAACGTCACAGTAGGGCCTGGAAGATGGCTTAGTGAGGAACAAATGTGCTGGGAAAGCAGGAGGAGATGAATTTAACTCCCTAGGAATCAGAGAAAATTGAATGTAGAAGTAGTAGACATGTGGAGTCCCAGTGCTTCTAAAAGGGAGATATGAGGTAGAAACTGGGGCATATACCCCCATACATAACACCACACACACACACACACACACGCATGCACACGCACGAAGTTGCACACCCACACTCACTTGCACATGCACACACCCAAACAGTGCTGATGTAGCCAATTTGGACATTTGCTTTTATGCTTTTGTTTCTGAAAATTGCATCCATTTTTTTTTTTTTAGAACCCCGGACCATAGGTTTTTAGTTTTAATTGTCTTGAGCTCTTAAAAATCATAGGAATAAAGGCTTAATGTAGCTGACACCATAAAAATTTCACAAGCCTTTTTTCATTTACTACTAAATGTCAGAGGAAAATCATTCAGTTCATTACAAATCTATCCTTGTGAATCAAGTAATGACATAGAAAGATCTATTATCACTACATGGCTATTTAAAATCAAATTTGCCCTTTAAATTATCTTCACACAAACCAGTTGTTTAGGACATTTGAGTGTGCGGCAGTCTGACAGACTTTGCGTGAAAAACCTCTAGACTAATTTTGTTTAGCAATGTGATGTTTTCTTCTTCTACTTTTTTTTTCTTTTCAAAGAAAAGGAAACAACACAATGTATTATATTGCCATGGGATTAAAAACTTATAGTCTATCAAATCAGTGTAATTGAATTTCAGAGTCTGCGTTTTGATTTTGGAGTCTGCAAATGATTGTATGCTTTGAAGCAAAAAAAAAAAATCATTATTTTTCTATCTTTTTATGTGTGTTTGAAGGCCATCTGCTGAGCTTTGTTTTGTTTTAATAAAATATATTAGCCTTCTTGGCTAATAGGAAAACACACAAGTACTTTAAATGATAAAATGAAAGTAGCTGTGTAAAAGGACTTGTTAGAAGTGAAAGAGGATATTTCCCCCCTATGTACCAAATGTACAATGCTCCAGGACACTGACTCATTCTGAACAGGGTATAGTGATTTTTCACCCTTTTTATCAAATTTCAAAATGTACATTTTCTGAGCTGTTCCACATCAGTATAAATGGAATAAATGGAAAATTACCTTTTACGTTATAGTGATTTATGCTTAGCTGGCAGTCTTCACATCTGTTACCTATTTTCCCATTGAGACTGTTAAAGTCTGTTTTGCACCATTTGGCAAATAAACAAACTGAGGTCTTAAATTGGTTAGGTGCTCACCCAGAATCTAATATTTATCTGGACTTTGACTCTTCTTGTCTTGAACATAGTGACTTTCCCTCAGTGTGAAGGTCCTTGGAGAAAGCCACTGCAAAACCCGTCATCTTTGGAATTTTAGGTAATCCTCGAAAGAACTGAGAAATTCCTCCAAAGTAACATTTTTGTTGTTGTTGTTGTTGTTATTCTAGACATAGTTCGATACTATGGGTCCTCCTCTGAAGCTCTTCAAAAACCAGAAATACCAAGAACTGAAGCAGGAATGCATGAAAGATGGCCGGCTTTTCTGTGACCCTACCTTCTTGCCGGAGAATGACTCCCTATTTTTCAACCGTCTGCTTCCAGGAAAGGTTGTATGGAAACGTCCTCAGGTACCTCTCCTTTTTCTCCCAATTTTCTGTCTCCTTGATCTCCTTTTGATTCAAAACTCCACATAACCAACTATTTCACTTACATTGACCTATTTAGAAAAATTCAGAAGCCAGTCTTCTTCCTTCCTTTGTTTCATTCACTGTTGCTGTCTCTCTCTTTGTTGAGTTGTAATTAACAGATAAGACACATACACATACATATATGTGGATGACGTGATGTTTTCATATGTCTTCACAATTTAAAATGACTAACACAAATAAATTGACATATCCATCACCTTACACAGAAATAATTTTAAAATAGGCTTTAGCTTGAAGAGATTAAAATTTTAATTGATTAATCATATAAAAACTGACAACAGAAAAGGATATATACTATGCTTCTTGTTTTTAAAATTTTATTTGAGTAACTGTTGCAATCTAGAAAGAAATTATACTCTTGTCTCTTTAGTTAAATGCCTATCACACTATCTTAAAGGTAATCTCACATCCAGTAGTACCTAATGAGATTCACGTACAATTAAAGTCTTTTAATTAATTAATATTAACTACTAAGGACCATTCATGGATATAAACTAGAACCCCTGCTCAGATGTAGCCCATGGCAGCTAAGTATCCAATTGTGTTCCCTAGGAATGGGAACAGAGACTGTCTCTGACATGAACTCAGTTGCAGCCTCTTTGACCACCTAAGCGGGGAACAGCCTTGCCAGGCTGCAGAGGAGGACAATGCAACCAGGCCTGATGAGACCTGATAAGCTAGAGGTCAGAGGGAAGAGGAGTAGGACCTCCCCTATCAGTGGGCTTGGGGAGGGATATGGGAGGAGATGAGGGAGGGAGAGTAGGACTGGGAGGGAATGAGGGAGGGGGCTACAGCTGAGATACGAAGTGAATAAACTATAATTAATGCAAAAAAATAAAAATTTAGTTAAAAATATTAACTACTAATAGTCATTATGGGTCTCAATGGAACATCTATGTATGGTTTCTCACGGCAGCGTTCAACAACTCTCCATAAGCTAGAGCCCAATGTACAATAAGATACAGTGATAGACTCTGGAAAATAATTAGCAACCTTGCTTTATCAAGATTGTACAACTGGACAAAAGAATAATCTAGTAGAGATCTTTCCCAATGATCAGGTTTATGGGCCATGGGAAGATATTAGAAAGTGCAAGTTCTTAGACCCAAAGACACCATTTGTAAGGAAATGTTTTTGTGTGTGTGTGGTTGTGAACTACCTTAGTCAACAATTCCGTGTTTGTCTTTAAGGAATCGAAATTCATTTTGTTGTTGCAATTTCCACTGATTAAACTCTTAAATGGAATTCCAAGAGTTATTTTAGTTCATGCACATTGCCACCCAGTGGTGCCAAGATACATTGGTTTCAATAAGTATTTTTTCTATGATATGTGAAGAAAGGAATGGATCAGTGGAAGTCTTGAGGTTCTTTCTATAATATTATGTTTTCCTGAAGAGTGAAAATCTTCAGACCTAGATACCCTAGTGACTAGTGTTGATTCACAAAGCATGATACCTATTAAAAGTATAAGTGTAGTGCCTGGTAGTGTAACTCAGCAATAAAGCAGAGATCCAGACCCCAGTATCAAAAATAAGAAATGAGAGAGAAAATATAAGGGTGGTGGAAGCTACATTTCTAAGCCTCTAAGTTGTTGACATCTTTGTAGATAATTCTGCTTTCCTGCAATAAAAATCTAGGAAAAATGATTAAAATCTGTTAAGAATACAAAGATGTAAGATCTCCCACCCCTTAAAAATATTTGAATAAAAGTATTTGTTATTTATTCTTGTCAGGTCACTAAACCTATGAATGGATGGTGATAACAAGTGCCAAAAGTAGCTAAAAGGGAAGCAGGGAACTGAGAGAAGTATATTGGGTACGTATCTTTTAAAAATAGGACAGACTTGAGCATAGTTGCAAGCTAAGGAGTAAAAACAGTAAAGAGGAAGTTGAAGGTGCAAGAGACAGGATGATTGATGAGGTGAAGTCCTAGAGGAGGTGGAAAGATATCTGGTGGGCGGCAAATTTGGAAGACTACATGAAGCCATTTCCCAGATGTGAACAAAGTAGACAGTGCTTCCTCTGCTGGCATGTCGTTTGATGCATCTTTCTCCCTCTGTCTTGGCTCAGTTCTTTGCACTTTGTCTTCTTCATCCAAATTCTGTATATTTAATTCTAGGTGTATTCACAGGGAGAGGAAACACTCAATAATTAATGACAACAGTCTATTTTTTAGTCTAAGACAAACTATCTCCTTCTAGAGTTAAGTTTCAATGGTAAGGAGTGTATGTGTGTGTGTGTGTGTGTGTGTGTGTGTGTGTGTGTGTGTGTGTGT